ATATATTACTTTTAATATATATATCATTTTGGTGTTTTAGACCTTTGAATGAAAATGTGTATTTTACTTTTAAAAAATAGTGATGGTGTTATTTTTTATGTGATATTAAAGATTAGAGTGCTATGTGGGTAAATATGAAAGTTTAGGTATGACATACAAAAAATCAATAACAATTGTGTGCTATGTATGTAAATGCCCCTGTTTTATTTCTATATATGATAATTTCATTAGTCTCCTTTACTTCTCCCACAGTGCCAACACATATCCTGTAGTAGTAGCTGCTCATCCCACCGAACCCAATCAGCTCGCGCTAGGTCTTGGCGATGGCGGCGTTCATGTGCTAGAACCATCGGACTCGACAGAAGGCAAATGGGGTTCCGCTCCCCCAGCAGAAAATGGAGTCGGTGCTAGCTCTAGCTCCAGCCAGCCAGTTGGAAACCCTAATTCCGACCAACCACCGAGGTGATACCACTGCAAAAACTTAATTTTAGCATTCTGTGTCCTGTTTTCTTCTGGGAGTGCAGGGTTCAGTCGATCGCCCCAAAGGGGCAGTAATAATTGAAGATCAGGTTGGATGATTATGAGTCAGAGGCTTAGCTTAAGTTTAGTGTATGCTCCAATAGTTTTATTATACGGATAATGGTGACTAACTTGGAAATGGTGAAAGCTTGCTTGAAATATTCCACAGAAAAGAACTATTTGGAGACTGCTCAGTGGAAATCATGCGGAATTCAGCAGGTGATTTTAGCCCCCCTCTTATCAACAGAAAGAAAAATTGTGTTTAGAAATTATTTTTTTTCTCATCTTATTATATATTTTTATTGAACTGTGTGGAAGAATGAGCATCTTTTTAGATTTGTATCCATATTTTATTCAAGTCTTTCACCATGCAAGGGGGCCTCTGTTGATTTGTTTCTTGTTGGCAGCCTAACTTATGGATGGTACAATTTATTTGTTATATTATTGGTTTGATTTAAGTTCGTATATGTGATCATGTCTGGATTCAGCAGCATGTTATAAGGCTGTATTTATGAGAGTGGAGTTTGAGAAATTCAGTATGTAGCTTCAGTTGATAAAAGTGGTATATAATATACATGGATTATAATCTTGGAAGATTTACATGCAACCACTCAATTCTTATGTATTTGCATATCTAACACCTCTACTTCAATTTCAATATGTATGCCGTCTCTTTTAGAAAGTTATAATAGTGGTATTTTTTATGTGAATGTGGAAGATTTGGGTGGGATAAATGTAAAAGAACAAAGTTTAGGTGTTGGATATGTAAATAAATAAGAATCAAGTGGTATGCACGTCTGCATGTAAATGTTGTTGTGGTAATCTTACTGACCTGTGGCCTCATTGTGTGGTTTTCTCATGGAGTAGAATGTGGATGGACCAAATTGGGGTTTGGAAAGCAATATAATAGAATATATATATATATATATATATA